ATCGTTACAAAGAATAAAAGAAGTTGTTATCATAAATATGTGTCGTGCCATCAACTATTAAATGCCTATCAATGACTTCATGATGTACATGTTGCCATGTCTTTCCATCACCTTCTACAATGCCGACATGAGTGAGTGAGGTGGGTTTAATGCCACTTTTAACATTATTCCAGTTATATCAGGGCGTATCAGCTTAATGTGGGAGCAAAGCCCGAAGTGATGCAGGTCTCAGACGTTTACCACTTCGGTGAATGGTGCTGACAAACCTAGAAACATAATCAGGGCGAACAAGGATTCGAACCCACAATCATAGGTTTCTGGCGCAGCAAATCATGGCGCCTTGTACGACTGGGCCACCCGGGTCCCTTTTTGTTGTGGACATGACATAATGTCATGACTCATAAATGTCAAGAGTTCAAATATGAAGTCATATTTTTAATGTGACTTTTGTTTACATTCTGAAAAAAAATATTTTTCAGACCCCGCATACACTGATCAATAACTAATTTTCAAATTTCAAAGTACAGACTACAGATATAACTAATATAACTGTCTGTATTGTTTGACTGGCGGACAACATGGATCAAGAAACATAATAAGGTCATAATATCTTAACAGTAGCCATTTGTATAGATAACATTTCCAATCACTGTCCAGACTGACCAAAAACAGAAAACACTGACACAACATAACGCACATGTCATCATGTATATACAGAATACTAAACGAGCTCCCGTGTAAAACCAATTTTACGAAACGAATGAATAGTTGTGGTATCTGATGAGCGAAAGCGAGTCAGATACCACAACTATTCACGAGTTCCATAAAATTGGTTTTACACGGGAACGAGTTTAGAATTTTATTTATTACTTGCCATTTATAACGTTTTTAGAATTATACTGTTGAGTATGAATAGGCTGACACCTACACGATCCACGGCATAGTCCAATTGAGTTTAACAGAATAATACTTCAAACACGTCAAAAGTTGAAACATATGAATTTAATACCATACAACAGTCCACCTTTAGAATTCACAAAATTATCGTAGGGCTAAGTCTATCGCAACTCACATATTTTAAATTAGCCTAACGACTGTCGCTGCGCTACAATACGATCGCCTTGTGGAACGGGCCTTGCACCTCAAAGTTAACAATCATGTCACAATACCTGATGACGTAATTTGTGGAATTTTGTTGCAAGATCCATCGACGAAACAATGCCATGTGACGTCAGCCTAGCAACAAGGCTACTGGGGTCATCAAGTGTGCATAAGCACCTCTCAGTGATCTATCAACTCCACACACAATGTCGTTGAATAAGCTAAGGGATGTTGAGAGCTTTCAATATTTGTTCATGAAATGTGTTCGGAGAGTACATAAGCACGCATTTTGGTATTACACAATGTGTAATACAGCTGTATGTTTATTAAACGGGTGATCTCTTCACGGGCAAGTAATAAACATACATAGTTAACACTATAACTTGTGCTTTAATATATAGTATTTAATACTTGGTTACTATATCATAAAGAGGAATAAGGTTTTGTTACATTTTGTAATACTTTCAGTCTTTGCTTGTCTCTATTCTAAGCACCTAGCTGCCATTCAAAGGCATTTTATTCTCTAGTCTTTGGCAATTTTGGACAAGATGGGCTACGGTCAATTGAATGGGAAATACATGCATTGTCAATTCAATCAAACTGTTTTAGTCTTTTGGATTCATGTAAAATGTGTTGTATACATGAAGTCTTTGGATGAAACATTTGTCTGTGTATTTTCTAGGATGGCTTGAATTCCACCCTTTATATAAGACATTTCACTACAATAATGAGATGGGACATTATTCTACAACAGATATTTTACATCTTAAAAGACCTTAAATAAGTGTTACTCTTATAGAATTCTTGAGTGTTTTAATACCTACATAATTAGAAATATATATTTTAGTTTGAAGACAATGTTGAGTGTTGGAATGAATGTCAACTTCAAGATGTAAGGAAATATGAACACACCGCCCCGTAGGTCAATAGGCAGCAGATGTACAGCACTATCCCTGCAGTCATCATGTTAACAACACAATAAGAATGTTGGCACAAAAGAACAAATAAGGCACCATTATTTTATATTTGAAAAAGCCCTTCAAAACCTGAGATCACTTCAATGTGACTGGCCAACAAGGCAAAAACGACTTCATAAGTCGACCAAAAAGAGAGTGAGTGAGTGAGTGAGTATAGTTTTACGCTGCCTTTAGCAATATTCCAGCAATATTACAGCGGGGTGACACTAGAAATGGGCTTCCCACACTGTACCCATGTCAGGAATCAAACTCGGTCTTCGGCGTGACGAGCTAACGCTTTAACCACTAGGCTACCCAACCACGCCCCAAAAAGAGAGAGCCACACCCAAACCTTAACTGTATCTCCAAGCTTCCTCTAGTCAAATCCATCCTGACTGGCGAACATGGAAAAAACAAGTTCCTAAGTTGATGAACACAAAAGAGAGAGCCATACCCATGCTATTCTTGCACCGCTAAGCTTCCTAAATCCCTGAATCCAAGCATTTTTATAAGACATTTCACTACAATGAGTGGGGACATTGTTTCCTAACAGTTATTTTACATCGACTAGTGACTATTGAAGAAATATTGGGTAGAATTAGCTTTCATGTCATGTTGTAAAACCACTTCTTAAAACGTAAGTACCATTGCCGTATATGCTGGAAAATACATTTAGCAGAGTGAATACATGCAACAGAGAATTGGGCACATATAGCTAAACATATAAATGACTCATTTAACAAAAAAGAGTCCAAAGAAAAAGAGAAGCAACATTCAAGCGCCTACCTTCACAAACCATCAAGTAACAGTAATGACACCAGGTTTTTTTAAATGGGTGGCGATGTCCTGCAGAAATCAAAACACCAAGGGCCTGTTCCACAAAGCCATCTTAGAGCTACGCCATCATAAATTGATGTTAAGGTATGGGAGCTACGAGGGTTGATTCATAAGTTCTGAGCCTCGCATGGAAGGACTTGGTGTTAAGCCTATTTTCTCGAAGTACTTGAACACTGCATGATTCTCATGTTGGTCCATTTTCAAAAGGTCACACACTTGTTTGTTTTACTGACTTGTCATGGCGAAACAATTTGCTCAACTCACACAAGTGTGTATGGATATACCTCTATGACATCAGGTAAGGTCCACAACAAAAGATTTCACTATTAAGCAATTCCTATTGCGTATGTCAGGCCTAGTGCCATGACTGCTTTGTAGAACAAGGCCCTGGTGTTGGGCAGGACATCCTGTGAAGGAATATAAGATCTGAATACAGCAGACGTGGAAACATCCAACATGGCAAATGCTCATTGTTTACAAACACTTCTATCTTACAGAAATCATTTATTTGTATTACAAGGCAAAATATAGAAAAAGATATATTTAAGAATGGCTTAATAAGGATTGATGTGGCCTGAAGAAGCCTACATATTGTAATGACTATAAAGACACCACATTGAAAAGAATTTGATGATCATTCAATATTCACACGGATAGTGAAACATCGGATAAATGGCCATGGACCACACCATAACTTGACATGCCATTTGACAGTCTGCATCTTTCATCTTTACTCTCTAAGCCATTGTGCTATACTATTACTTTAATATCTGCTATAATAAGTGTATTTAATTTTCATGGTTGGTGATATTTATACACAATATATTTCCTTGTAGCAGAACTACTGTCAGTAGTGGTGGTAGTAAGGGCAGTGAAGTTCGTTACATCAGACTTCTTGTACGCCCATTTTCTGAAATGTCTAAATCAGTATGGCCAGCAAACCATTTCATGGCCATCTTGACAGCCATCAGATGAAGAAACACATCCAGAATTATCGTCCTTGCATGACAATTGGATATGATCAGTTAAGTTCATTAAACTGCATTTCATAGGTGTTACGTTTCAAGATAACATAATCATATCTTACTCGCTTTGGAAAGAAGTTCAGAATTTCCCAGGGGAGGGTACAAAATCCTTAACTAATCCAACAGCAGGGTATTAAAATGGCCTTTTCAGTAAACAATCAGAAACAAGTAGCTCAATGCATTTGTCATATACGTGGTAGCCGCAGCAGCTCCGGTGGGACATACGCTTGCAGTCGGAAATCGCACATTAAATCTCCAATATAAGTAAGTAAGCAGCAGCAGCAGCAGCAGTAGTAGTAGGAGGAGGAGGAGGAATGGTGACTAGGCAACACTTAAAGTAAGTCATACAAACTTCTTTTTCCACCACACATACTTGCAAACTAGAGCAACTTATCTGCTTTAGACACACAAAGTACAGCTTATCATGACTTTAACTGGATTACCAAAGAAAATAGGAAGTATATTTCCCTAGACAGCCAGGACCACCAGTGCATACTGCAGCCACTTCTAGCTACCCTGCTCATACTGGCAAGAACTACTACTGGACAGACAGGTGCTACCATTAGGAAAACATATAACTTTATGGATAACAACTTCTGGCTTATTGCATTTAACACGAACAGGTAACGAATAAACATATTTCACACAGATAATTGGATGAATTTAGATGTACATTAAGAATAACACACCCCATTAGGGGTCACGTCAGAACGACCTTTCATCCAACCAATCAGAGCGTCGCTTACCAGATCATGAAAGTGACAGTCGGAATGTGTTTTCTTATCATGCAACCACGAAATATTTAACACGGGGTATTCCGAACGACAGTTACGGGTTTTATGATTATATCCATACAATCCAGGCCATCTATAAGAAATTCCAGAATGTTCTTATCAGTTTTTTTAATTGAGAATCCGTCAAAATATGTTTCGAAGCGTAGTCACCAGTTTGAAACTAGTGTCGTAAAGCTCAAGAAAGCTGCCTTCTGATTGGCTAATGTCGATTTCTTGTCAGTCATTTCATTGGTCTATCAAAATTCGCGAAAGGTCGTTCTGACGTGACCTGTAATGGGATGTCCTCAGATCTTTGTTTAGCGGTAGCGAAAACTAAGATCTGAGTTTAATGAGATTGGTTTGCCGTAAAAGGTGACTATGCTTGTCGTAAGAGGCGACTAACGGGATTCGGTAGTTGGGCTCGCTGACTGGCTTGATGCATGTCAATTTCCAATTGGCCTCATTAAAATTATCAGTGTGCTACTTATAATCTTTTACCTGTTGTTGTCAATGTTAATCTGCTGCTCATCCAAACATATCATGTACCTCTCATCACTTGGTTGGTGTCACTCTAGCTTGATAACGGTGTAAGAATCTTCATCGAAACGTTGCTATGTGCAATAAACCAGAAGTTGTTCCATAAAGTTGTATGTTTTCATACTTACTAACTCCTAGAATGCCAATCTAACAGTTAGGTGCTACCAATGATTTCTGTTCATGTATTGCAAGAATGCATTCTCTAACCAATCATAAATCGTTATACAAAAATACAAGTATTGTACAAAAACTATGCAAGAACACAATGCAAAGTGATAAAGTGGTATTTTGTTGCTCTATAAAAATATGAGTCTTTCTATAAAAATTGAACAGAGCTGCATATTTCTCATGAACATGACACTTCATCAACAAAAAAGCTGGATGTTAGCTTCCATGGTAACTATATAATACCCGCCAATAGCTGCAGAACATGAGTGGTACAGTCCTAAGGAGGTATCATTGTTAGGCACTTTGATGGTTATACAGTAAAATACATTTACAACGAACACGCTTATAACAAACTGACGGATATTACAAACTTAATCTTTGGTCTCTGCCATTTGCTGTATAGATGTTGTATATATGCTTATAACGAACTACGGTCATAAGGAACTAAAATTAGTGGTCCATTCGAGTTCATTATAACCATAGTTTTCTGTAGTGTTACTCCTCCAATTGCATCACTAAGTGATGTGAGATGGCCCTTAACAACACTGCTGTACTTAAGAAGTACTACATATTGCATTGTATTTGAACGCTTCAACAACTTGATAAAAGGAGTCTCTTTAAGAGGATCTGTTACAGCAAGGTTCTAAAATAATTTCCGCTCAGAGGTTTTAAATTCTTAAAATACAACATTTACAATGTAAATTTCAAAACTGAAAACAGCATACCATGTTAAACAAAGCTTTTTTAAAATCATTAAAACAAACTTAAAATAGTTTTGAATTAAACCGTTTCACTAAGCGGTCAAATGAAATGGAAGCTGGGGCCTTTTCACTGCTGCTAGATTCTTGATTCTGATCAGAGGTATGTGGTGATGAGGATGTGTCATTTGGAGATGAGGAACTGGGAAAGAAGGTCTTCCTTGTTCCAGATGTTGCTGCTAGCTGTGCTTCTCGGCCATAGGGTAAGGATCCAGGGAGATCACTCCTCACCATGGGCTTCAGGGTGGTTCTGTTGGCTGATTCAGGGTAAGAGGTAGAAGAAGAGGATCTTCCAGGAGCATGGAAGCTTTTCAGGTATTCTTGTGGAGGAGGTGGACTGATTGCTGATGGACGGGACTTCAATCTGGAGTGCTCGGAAGAAACACTAGATTGTGAACTTTCTGGCGAGACAAACCGACAAACTCCTCGTCCAATACCTGGAGGTAGAGCTGTGTTGATATGAATTTTGCTTATGGATGGAAGGGAGTCATCACTATCTGTGGTCTGACTGTCTCGTTTTATTTGGTTTCGGTTTTGAGGTAGTGTTTCAGAGAGGCTACTCTCACCGCCACTCGAAGGTGCTTCAAGCTGTCCTCCTATATTAAAGCATGGAATGCCCTTCCTAACCACCCCATAACTGACCATCTTATCCTTCTCAGTATCAGATGTGTCAGACAGGGGTCCAGTCTTCTCAGGAACAGCTTCAAAGTAGTGTCTGACAGAACCAACATGTTCATAGACGTGATGTCTCCCCAAAGACTCTCTGGATGGAATGCAACTGAATGAATCATCACCATCAGTATCTTCTGGACAGGAATAACTGTCAATATGTATCGGTTCCTCGAGGTCAGAGTCCGAAAACTGTTGATGTCTCCTCTTCTTCTTGAGATCATTCTGTGAGTACCCAGCTGGTATAAATGCTATTCTTTCATCAGATACAGTTTCTACCTTAATCTTGTGACTAGTCTGAGACTCTGGGGTCTTCTCTACGGTCATCTCTACTGGTCTGGTTGGATCTGGTGGTCCATGTCTCTGAGTTTCATGACCATAGTATAAACTATGTTCATCATCTTCATCTTGAGTTCTTCCTGCAGGCATCCTGATTTGCCATTCTTGGGACACATCATGTCCATTGGTCTGACCATGTTGCAGTTTTGTAGGTATCTGGACTTCAGACAGTCCAGGTGATGCACCATGTCCATGTTTGGTTTCAGTTAGATCGAGTCTATTCTTTTGATCTTGTGTGATTGTCATAGGTCTCCTGGCTTCAGATGGTCCTCGGGCGGTGCAGTGTCCATGTTTCGCTTCCTGTAGATGATGTCCATTGGTTTGATTGTCTGTTACCGTGGTCGGTCTCCGGACTTCTGATGGTCCTCGGTGCATACAGTGTCCACGTGTGGAGGGTGTTTCGGTGGACAGGGAGTTGACAGAGTTCGGCAGACTCTTACGCTCCTTGGCTCGAGGAAAGGCTGGATGAGACGAATTGGAGTCTCCATCACTTCTACGTCGGGGATCTGCAAAGGAAAATACCAGGGACAGTTTTAGATTTGGGCACATCATCATCATCATCATCATCATCATCATCATCATCTCAAAGCCTGTGACGATACAGGTTAGAATTGGTCTTCAGCAACCCATGCTTGTCGTAAGAGGCGATCAATGGGATTGGGTGGTCCAGTCTAACTAAAATCAGATCTTAGTTCTTGCTATGGCTAAACAAAGACCTGAGGACATGTCATTAAAGGTCACATCAGAACAAACTTTTGCGCACTTTGACCGACCAATGAAATGACTAACAAAAAGTCAACATTAGCAAATCAGACAGCATCTTTCTCGAGCTTTACGACTCTAATTTCAAACTGGCAACATCCATTCCAGATTACGCTTTGACAATTATTTGACAAAGTTCCAGATTCAAAATGTGAAAAGTGAACAAAGGAATATTCTGTTATGTCTGATGGAAGGTTATGATTATATGGCAGTACTTCATTACGGGCTATGGAAATGTTTATGTGAGAGATAGACGGTGATTTGGATGGTACAGACTGTTACTGTCATTAGGAACACCCCGTGTTGACCTTTCCAAGGTTGCAAGACTAGAAAACACACATTCTGCCTGCCACTTTCCCGATCAGGTAAAAGATGCTCTGATCAGTCAGATGAAAAGTCATTCTGATGTTACCCGTAATGGGCTGTCCTCACATCTTTGTTCAGCGACAGCGAAAACTAAGATCTGATATTAATGAGATTGTGGTGCTGCTTTGGTTGATGCATGTCATCGTATCCCAAATGAATACATTGATGCTTATGACATCAATCACTGGATTGTCTGGTCCAGAAGCGATTATTTGCAGACCAACCTCATAGAGCTGGAATATTGCTGAGTGTGGCAAAAAAACAAACAAAACAAAACAAACAAAAGGGATGTGAGTGACCTGTGACCACCATCTTGATGCAGTTCAGTTGCCTGGTCATATCATTTACTGTTTATATCTACTGTACCTACTGTATATATAACACTCCTTTAACAGACATTAATCTATATCAGTTAGTAAGTATGCCAAACTTATCATAATAACATAATATTAAAAATACCATCGTTATTTCATCCAGATATCAACATCAGACCAGTTTTCTGCATGATCATGTGACCACCTTGCTGATATTGATCAGTCCGATTGGCTATCAAAGTAGACGTCTGGTAACATAGTCCATATCACATAGCTATTTGACTGTTATCACAAACCTGCTGCTCTCCACACTGAGTCATTCCTGGCCACTAAGTAAGGGTCCTTGACACCTTCACAGTTCTCATGAAACCCTAGTTCGTCCTTCTGCGGCCCCCTGGCGTTTAGTCTTGTGGGCCGCATGTACTGATGGCGCAGGAAGTCCATGTGCGTCGTCAGATGCTGGAAGGCATTTGGAAGCAGGTGGCGTGTTATCTACAAGGAAAATACTGCCTTTACAAACTGGCCATTCCTGTACATCAATGGCAGAAGCAAATGTATGGGGATTCCAGGAAAGAACATAGGTCCCCAGCACTCTATGCTACTTGAGGTGACTGACTGGATTAGGTGGTCTGGCTCAGTGACTTGGTTGGTTGCATGGATCAATGCTCATGATGTCAATTGCTGGATTGTCTGGTCCGGACCATTACAGACCGTTAAACAAATCAATATCAAACAGGCTGTCATCATATAGCTGGAATATTGCTGAGTACGGCGTTAAACATGTTAAACAACAAACAAACTATTTAATTTGCAAAGGAAAAATTAACCATCTGAGTTGTCTCTAAGATGGACATAATTTGGAGAACTAAGAACTACTATCAATGCAGCTATTTGGGTACATAAATCATTTTCAAAACATGGCACAGATTATGTCTGAAAACAATAACATCTAAATATATGAATATTGTGTGTCATATAGATGGGCATTAAGAGTGAGTGAGTATGGTTTTACGCCGCTTTTAGCAATATTCCAGCAATATCACGGCAGGGGTCACCAGAAATGGGCTTCACACATTGTACCCATGTCGGGAATCGAACCCAGGTCTTCGGCTCGACGAGCGAATGCTTTAACCACTAGGCTACCTGACCGCTCCCGATGGGCATTAAGAAAGGGACATACGAACATAACTCCAACAGAAAGACAAAAGAGACTTTAAAGCACAATCAAAGTGACACATCATGAACGCTGAGACACCATGTGACAGTCTCTACATTTGGCAGAATGAGATCACATTGCTTCAAACCGACCAATCAGCATGTTCAGCATTGAGAATCATTAAATCATGCAAATATCAGAATGTATTATCAGGGATTAGACCAACTCAGAGGACAATTCTCAGCCTCCAGTTCATGCTAATACACTATTTCTTATATTATGGCTTTGTAGAAGTGACTCGTTCTTCACTGACAACAGAACCAATGAAGAGGAAGAGGCATAAATCCTTTGTACAATAACAAAAATCCCAATTTTGAACAAAATAATTCCTAATTTGCCTGTTTAGAACCCTGTTTAGGCAAATCCCTGATTATACTTGATGGTTCAACAATTATGGGCAATTCATCACCAAATCTTCTACTGACCAGTCCTCTCTTGGAGTCTTCGTTTGAGGAGTCGCGGACATATCCCAAGTAGATCTCCGTCCCCACCGTCACCTCCTTCAGCAGCTTCTCCATCAACTTCACCCGCAATGGCAGCAGGTGCTTCACCTGCTTCATGGCAGTAGTCAATATGTGGAGGGGGGCGGGGCGCTGAGTCCATACCTCTTGGTCTTCCTGAAAATTCAGATCACATGGCCGGAGATTGAGTAACTTCAACTGAGACTCCTGGACTGGGAGGCTGTCAACTTGTGGTCCCTACCCAACCACAACCTCGTGCAATCAGTGTCTGAAATGTTAGATCACCATGAATTCCCAATAAAGACAAGTCCATGTCCAGCTTTCAGAAGACTTCAACCTCTGTATTATATTGATAGGTAACACTGCCACTGAGTGAGTGAGTGTGAGTGAGTATGGTTTTAAGCCGCTTTTAGCAATATTCCAGCAATATCATGACGGAGCACACCAGAAAAGGGCTTCACACATAGTACCCATGTTGGGAATCGAACCCGGGCCTTCGACATGACGAGCGAGCGCTTTAACCACTAGGCTACCCGACCGCCCCCACTGCCAAGGAGATAAGGTTATTCAGCGTATGGGTGAGTGAGTGATATTTTATGGCTCAAGCAGCAATAATTCCATTGCCGTACCTTCTGGAGTGTTTCCCTGTACCTGATGATTGGGATGTCAGACAGGGCCATGTTGAGCTGAGTCAGCAGCAGACTGTACTGACCCTCCACATAGCGTGGGTAGTCGCCATTGTGCTCCATCCGGTAGATGATCACAGCAGCCACCTACAACGCACAGGAACAACAGCTGAAATTATACACTTACCGTATTTGACGTAATAAGCGCCAGGGGCACTCTCAAAAAAAGAGTTGAAAGATAAATTTCATGGTTTATGCTGACAGCCTGAAATGTTTATGTACGACAGATATATTTTTCCAGAATTTAATTGCCCGTAATAAAGGGTGCATATAACACACGAGTGCGTATTATACATGAATAAATAAGTCTTGTGTACATTGATCAATCAGAAGGGGTGCTAATTGGGATTGTTGACTAGCCAATATATTAGCAAATATCGCCTTCGGCGCTTAATAGAGCGGGGCGCTTATTACGTCGAATATGGTAAGTGAGTAAGTCAGTCACAGTGACCATGTGTCATTAGACATTTACATCAAGTACAGGATGTCAAAATGGCTGACATGATACACTACAGGTGAAATTAAACACATAAAAAACAGATCAGGCATGTTAACTCTTGAGTGTTGCTTTGTGGGTCCTTTATTTATTAATAAACAGGCATAAAGAAGGAAGGTGTCTAGTCATCAACATTTCATTATTCAAATGACTATTTACATGACAATCACCAATTTAATGTACCATTCATCATCAATGCTTCCCAGATCTATACACACTATGTTTCTTCATCACCTTAATACATACATGGTTTGTGGAACAGTTGCTATTTTTACCTTCCCTTTTTGTTGTTTTACACCGCAGTCAGCAATATTCCAGCTATATGACGGCGGTCTGTAAATAATCGAGTCTGGACCAGACAATCCAGTGATTAATATCATGAGCATCGATCCACGCAATTGGTATCGATGACATGCATCAACCAAGTCAGCGAGTCTGATCATCCGATCCCGTTAGTCGCCTTTTACGACAAGCATAGTCGCCTTTTATGGCAAGCGTGGGTTGCTGAAGACCTATTCTACTCCGTCACATGATGTCCTGCACTGGAAGTCTCACCTGAGTATCAAACACATTCACCAGTTCCACGCCGAACTGATGGTACAACAAATCTGATGGCTGGCGACAATCATGCATCACCTGAAAATTTGTGAATTACAAATCATGACCAATGTCACAAACAAATAATGTCGCTGAAACATGGTTGCCAGTCAATTGGCACTATCTGATAAATTGGGCAGCTCACTCACAAATTGTATTCATACACAGTTGCTAAAGCTACTTCATTGAGAGTCTCATCTTAAACATCCTTTATTTTAAGAATGACAATATGTGTTGCTAGCCGAGTAATTGTTTCGTCTTTATGTTTCCATGAACCAAAAAACTAGTAGAAGACACCCACTAGCGGACTACTGACTGGATGACAATAGAATGGGCAGGGCTTGTGTCACATTACTGCACTGAACAATGTCACTGATTTCTAATAGTTGTACACAGTATTTTAGTGTGTTAATGATTCAATAAGCAGCCTGTGAAGTGTTTATTGTTGATCTATTTGTTTATAAGAACTGACTTCAACAAGTATTGACATTTATTGAGTATTTTACACTGTTTCCTAAGTTTATACCTCCATAAACGCAAAAAATATTATAGTCCATTCTTAAATAAATACTATATATGATTGGTAATACTTTCTGCCTCTGATGGTAAACAAAACGATCACATTTGGATACAAAGATCCAGTTTGTCTGGGTCCCTCAGTTCTTTACATGCTGCTGTGGCAACTGGAATATTGCTTGCTGCGGCTCATCACTTATATGAGTAGTGTTAAAACAAAGTGCAGTAACTGTTAAACTTAAGCTGATTGCCAGCTAGGATATGTATCTAACTTTTATGGGAAACAGGTGAAGATTGTTCGTACAATAAAGAAGTTGGAACAGGCACAGACACGGCCACTAGCCCGTTAGTCAGGGACAAGTGAAAATCTATACAGACCAGTTCTTTTCTCCTCAAATCTAGCCATTTATATAACCACTAGTCCGAAATGAGTTCGGACTGGTTGGATACGACCAATGGTGTCTGACCCTGTTGGAAGACATGTTCTCCATAAAAAGAGTCATGTTGTTCCAACTTCTACATGCCTATGCTAGACTCTTGTACAAAAATACCTACCTTGAGTATTTTGCCTGATTCCAGGATTTCCAGGAGACCACGTTGGAAGCACTCTGATCCAAGTGAGAGAACGTCAAAGAGGAAAACCTCCTCTTTTGTAGATACCTGTAACCATGGTAACACATGATGATGATGTAGTCGTACTATACACTGTAGCATACACACCACAATTTGCCAAATGCGGAAATGAGTCAGTGAGTGAGTGAACAGTATTTAGTGTTAAGATCTTATGGTACGAGACCCAATTACAAAAGTTGTGGTGTTAAAAATAATATTTCATTGGTGGGGGGGAAGGGAGGGTAATAGGGAAATAAAGAAGGACAATGCTGCATGGTCTGATGTTGTAAATAGCTCATTGTATGAATCTTGAACACATTCTCTGAGTAATCTTAAACATTTCTGAAGGGTAGATTAATTAACATAAATCATAAAATTAGAAAGAGCAGATGACAAAACAAACTAGGAATGTCAAAAGCAGTTCTTGAGCTGGTGTTATACTCAGGGACAGTTGTTTGGTCCTGTAAAGTAGAACAACTGACATACCTGGAGCCAGCACAGAGTCCCGTCCCGGCCGATACATACACCCTCCATGCCCACACCAATGACCTTCTGAGCTTGAATATACTCAATCTGAAAAATACGGTTGAAAAATACATCCATGTACATTTTATTGCAACAGTAAGACAACAGACATCTAATCTATTTCTGAACTGAGGCCACAAAGTTGATGTCTTTGGGATTTGTGATGTTTCGCTTGGAGATTGCTTGGTTCTCTTTAAGACAAGGTGATGGAGGTGGCCACAGGTTAACATGATTGATACAACGCATTTGATTAATTGTTGTTAGAAAAGTAAAAAGGTACATACAAATTATTTGATTTTTGTTGTAATTTTTAGATTATTCTATCCATCAACATGATAAAAAATTGAGTGAGGGCAATTGAAAAAAACAAACAACTTTTTCTTTGTTTTCTGAAAACGGCCCTTTGTTCAGGTCAGGAACGCTTAAACCTAACAATAGAAAAGTAACACCAGAGGTGAATCAACTCACTGCTTCACGGAACACTTCATCCAACTTGTCGATGATATGAAAGTCACCATTAGATCCTTCCCCAACATCACTGCTGGAGTCGTAGTCTGAGCTCTTCACTGAACAAAAGGCAAAACAAAACATGTCTTTTATAAAGCCTTGATAAAGTGTACTGCTATGAAAAAAAGACAAACTGTTTAGTGTTCCTCATACACATTAGGGCATATTTTTATGGTTCAGGAGAACAATAAAATGTGATGAACAGTTGAACATTTCTATTTGTGAGTGATCAGGAGTGACTTCTTGTTTATGAGGCTTTTCGATGGGTAAATTTCTAACTCTAAGTTGAAATTCAAGTAGAGCATTAAACAGCCATCTTAAAACATGTAATGCCCTTTTTATTATAAAAAAAGTACAAATTCACCTTAAGAAAGACCTAATATATTTTGTGTACCAGTATATTCATGGTAATTGCACTGAAATCATTTTGAAAAATAACAGTAGCCGGGAATCATTGGTGACACCAGTACACAGGGCAAGCAAAGACATTGAATGTGCATTCAGTGACTTTGCCCAAGTACCTGAAAAGCAGGGTTTTGTAGTTGGAATTGAAAATCCAGATTTTCAAGAGACCACCCTAAGTGGGAGTAGAGTGCTACTTGATGAATATAGAGTCAATACAGCGAAAAAACAGACCCCCAAATACTTTCAGTGTGGAAAATCAATGCCAGACGTGAGACGAAACAAAGAATCAGCTCCAGTTGTACACAGCCAACCTTAAAACTTGCATACCTTTAGTCAATTTTCATACAATATTCTTAAGTACTAAACTGCTAAAACTAGAATTCTAACGACGTTGATTCGCCTGTCAATGTCAGCCCAAATCGTCAGAACTAGAGTACTCTTTGCTATGATGTCGAACCGATTGTTGATGATGTCTATCCAAAGGGGAGGAACTATCGTGATTGCAACTCCATCTGCCAAGTGAAGGGGGTGAGGGAGGGGGTGAGGGAGGGGGTGAGGGAGGGGGTGAGAGAGAGGCTGAGGTAACGTGTTTAGCCGATGGTGACTGTCCCTTAGACTCCTGGGGAGAGGCTGAAGTAGTATTGGGGGGTAATATTCTCCACGGGGGAAGATAATCAGCCCTATGCTGAGGGTCAGGGAACATTATGTGGAGCAGACTCAACTAACGAAGTAGTCTTGATTGGTAACGTGTCTTGTACTGCCCCATCAGAAAGCTGTCAGGAAAGTAGGTATTCGTCGACAATTAACGAAGGGATTGTCAATAAATTGGCATGTGTAACCGTGGAAACAGTTGATCTGATAGCTATTTTAGTGACAATTTTAGGTTTCTTGGAAGTGGGAGACCAGTGCTCCCTAGAAATATATGTTGTTTTACCTACCTAAGGATAATCATGATAAACGAAAGCCACAAGTAAGATGATTGGTCAAGTATATTTTGGTGTCCTTAACAGTAAAATATCACTGAACTAGAATCAATATACAATGAATATTACATACATGATCCAGTGGTATCGTTGCGGAGTTGTCCCCTCTTGTTCTCATCACAACTGGCCGGTGACTTTTGGAGGATAAGTTTTTCTGATGTCACGTTTGGTCTTCTCAGCAGGTGACGTGGTGTGTCCTTATTTTTAGTCAGACGAGGCCCATATTCCCTGGGTAAAGAGTATTTGTTGTCAGATTACATACATGACTTACACAATGGAAACTGGCGAAACTGAAGTAGTGAGTGAGTTTGGATAACACCACTTTGAATAGTATTTCAATCATGTCATGGTGCGCCAGCTTCATGTGGGAGGAAAATCCTCAGCGATGCGGTCTTAGACATATTAGATGCTTACCACTTTGTAGAAACCCACAATCACTGGTATGGCACATAGTCAATTGTAGCTCCTGAAAGAACAGGATTAATACCAAAAAACATGTACAGCTATTGTTGTTTATTTGTTGTTCAACATTGCAGTCAGCAATAATCCAGCTATATGAGAGCAGCCTGTAAATAATCGGGTCTGGACAAGACAATCCAGTGATCAATATTTTGCGCAACGATCTGCGACACACAGTCAACCAAGTCACAGAGCCTGACCACCAGATCAATTTGGTAACCTCTCACAACCACCATAGGTTGCTGGAGACCTGTTCTAACCTTGAAGCCCCACTGGGTTACGACCAGCATAGGTTGATGTGGACCTGTTCTAACCTTGAAGCCCAAGGGGTTACGACCAGCATAGGTTGCTGTGGACCTGTTCTAACCTTGAAGCCCCACTGGGTTTCGACCAGCATAGGTTGCTGGGGACCTGTTCTAACCTGGAAGCCCCACAGGGTTACGACCAGCATAGGTTGCTTGGGACCTGTTCTAACCTTGAAGCCCCACTGGGTTACAACCAGCATAGGTTGCTGGGGACCTGTTCTAACCTGGGATCCCCACAGGGTTACGACCAGCACAGGTTGCTGGGGACCTGTTCTAACCTGGGATCCCCACAGGGTTACGACCAGCAGAGGTTGCTGTGGACCTGTTCTAACCTGGAAGTCCCACTGGGTTACGACCAGCATAGGTTGTCTGGGGAACTGTTCTAACCAGGGAGCCCACAGGGTTACGACCAGCAGAGGTTGCTGTGGACCTGTTCTAACCTGGAAGTCCCACTGGGTTACGACCAGCATAGGTTGCTATAGTAAAATATCACTGAACTAGAATCAATATACAATGAATATTACATACATGATCCAGTGGTATCGTTGCGGAGTTGTCCCCTCTTGTTCTCATCACAACTGGCCGGTGACTTTTGGAGGATAAGTTTTTCTGATGTCACGTTTGGTCTTCTCAGCAGGTGACGTGGTGTGTCTAACCTGGGATCCCCACAGGGTTACGACCAGCACAGGTTGCTGGGGACCTGTTCTAACCTGGGATCCCCACAGGGTTACGACCAGCGTAGGTTGCTGTGGACCTGTTCTAACCAGGGAGCCCCACAGGGTTACGACCAGCAGAGGTTGCTGTGGACCTGTTCTAACCTGGAAGTCCCACTGGGTTACGACCAGCATAGGTTGTCTGGGGAACTGTTCTAACCAGGGAGCCCACAGGGTTACGACCAGCAGAGGTTGCTGTGGACCTGTTCTAACCTGGAAGTCCCACTGGGTTACGACCAGCATAGGTTGCTGTGGACCTGTTCTTACTAGGAAGCCCCACAGGGTTAAGTCCAGCACAGGTTGCTGGGGACCTGTTGTAACCTGGAAGCCCCACAGGGTTACGACCAGCATAGGTTGCTTGGGACATGTTCTAACCTGGAAGCCCCACAGGGTTACGACCAGCACAGGTTGCTGGGGACCTGTTCTAACCAGGAAGTCCCACAGGGTTACGACCAGCATAGGTTGCTTGAGACATGTTCTAACCTGGAACTCCCACAGGGTTACGACCAGCACAGGTTGCTGGGGACCTGTTCTAACCTGGAAGTCCCACAGGGTTACAACCAGCATAGGTTGCTTGGGACATGTTCTAACCTGGATCTCCCACAGGGTTACGACCAGCATAGGTTGCTGGAGACATGTTCTAACCTGGAACTCCCACAGGGTTACGACCAGCATAGGTTGCTGGGGACCTGTTCTTACTAGGAAGCCCCACAGGGTTACGACCAGCACAGGTTGCTGGGGACCTGTTCTAACCTGGAAGTCCCACAGGGTTACGACCAGCATAGGTTGCTTGGGACATGTTCTAACCTGGAACTCCCACAGGGTTACGACCAGCACAGGTTGCTGGGGACCTGTTCCAACCTGGAAGTCCCACAGGGTTACGACCAGCATAGGTTGCTGGGGATCTGTTCTAACCAGGAAGCCCCACTGGGTTACGACCAGCATAGGTTGTCTGGGGACCTGTTCTAACCTGGAACTCCCACAGGGTTACGACCAGCACAGGTTGCTGGGGACCTGTTCTAACCTGGAAGTCCCACAGGGTTACGACCAGCACAGGTTGCTGGGGACCTGTTCTAACCAGGAAGTCCCACAGGGTTACGACCAGCATAGGTTGCTGGGGACCTGTTCTGCTGGGGACCTGTTGTAACCTGGAAGCGCCACAGGGTTACCACCAGCATAGGTTGCTGGGGACCTGTTGTAACCTGGAAGCCCACAGGGTTACGACCAGCACAGGTTGCTGGGGACCTGTTGTAACCTGGAAGCGCCACAGGGTTACAACCAGCATAGGTTGCTGGGGACCTGTTGTAACCTGGAAGCCCACAGGGTTACGACCAGCACAGGTTGCTGGGGACCTGTTCTAACCTGGAAGCCCCACAGGGTTACGACCAGCATAGGTTGCTGGGGACCTGTTCTAACCAGGAAGTCCCACAGGGTTACGACCAGCACAGGTTGCTGGGGACCTGTTCTAACCTGGAAGTCCCACAGGGTTACGACCAGCACAGGTTGCTGGGGACCTGTTCTAACCTGGAAGCCCACAGGGTTACGACCAGCAAAGGTTGCTGGGGACCTGTTCCAACCTGGAAGTCCCACAGGGTTACGACCAGCATAGGTTGCTGGAGACCTGTTCTAAACAGGGATCCCCATGGCATGTACAGCCATGTACCTTGAAACAAGCACTTGTCTTGTCTGCTTGTTTGTTGTTTAAAGGGACAGTACATCAACGGTTCTAAGTGTTTTTAAATCATGCATGAAATAATTTCCAAGTGTGACATCACATGCCCGATTCAAGTCTCAAACCAAAACAATAGAGCTTGGCACAGCGAAGTCGACAATGCAAAAACGATGCTGGCTGGTAAACTGGCTTCAGTTATGATTTTTAGTAGGTGCAAAAGAGAAATCGTGCATGTTTTTTTTTTACATATGACTCTTGACTTCCGAAAATACTAATTACAAGCTTAATTGGATTAGAAGCGAAGCCTAGATTACAACATAAATATGCCTCGGTCGTATGAAGCTAATCACTCTCAGACCAAGAGTTCTTCTGTCACTCTCACATATTTCACGTACACCGTCCAATCAAGTTTTGTGTATTTTGGACAAGTCTTCACCTTTAAACATTCATTGAGAAAAGATCCTAAAACGTGAAAAACTATTTCCATTATCCTCCATGTGCTGTCATCGAAGCCCCACGTTTAGCTACGGATAAATTAACTTTTATGTTTAAAGCTATATTGTCATGCACCTCACTGTCGCAGTGATAGTAACATGTCCATAAAATTATGCAAAACAATATGTAAAATGCTTGCATTAGACTATCTGTCTTATTTTAGAATAAGTGTGTTTGTTTACAAACAAGAGAAAAGTCCGGTCATGTGGTAAGCCTACACCCGCAGTGTGGTCACTGGAGTGAGTGAGTGAGTGAGTGAGTATGGTTTTACGCCGCTTTTAGCAATATTCCAGCAATATCACGGCGGGGGACACCAGAAATGGGCTTCACACATTGTACCCATGTCGGGAATCGAACCCGGGTCTCCGGCATGACAAGTGAACGCTTTAACCACAAGGCTACCCGACCGCCCCTTGTGGTCACTGGAACACTGTTGTAGAATAAAATGAGTAGAGCCCAGGGTCCCGTTCCACAAAGCCATCTTAGCGCTAAGATGATCATAAGCCTTCGTTAAAGTATGGGAGTTACGATCAACTTAGTGCTAAGATCGCTTGGTGGAACGGGGCCCAGTAAACTCAGGGGTTATCGGCTAGTGTTTACAAAGCTTCAGAAGGTCTGACGTCTTTAACGCCGCACTCAGCAATCTTCCAGCTATATGACAGTGGTATGTAAATAATCAAGTCTGGATCAGACAATCAAGTTATGACATCATGAGTATTGATCTACGCAATTGGGATATGAAGACATGCATCAACCAAGTCAGCAAGCATGACCACCTGATCATGTTAGTCACCTCTAACAACAAGCATGGGTTGCTGAATACCAATTCTACCCCAGTTTAGGAATGTTAAACAAGCATGGAGTACTGGGGAACAGTCTAGGAGGAAATACTGCACCCGTTAATAATGATTGACTCCAACTGTGGTAATTGATGTTGTAAACACAGTCTGATGGTAAATGTAGTAATCAGAAAAGGTTTATGATTGGTCTCACCGTGTATTTGCATTGACCGTGGTTTGTCTTAAGTTGCTGTCAACATCTTCAAATATTTCAACTGAAAAGAAACAAATGCTTTAACACGTTTAACCAATGTTTCACACAGTCCTGTACTGTATGCTCATTAAAATGCACTGTTTATTAAAGCGAACTAAATATTTTATCGACAAACTGAAACTAACCACTTTTAAACACAATCCCATTCTCAAATATGATAGTGGATAAAAATGCAAACAAGAAAATTATTTGTGCTTACACCGAAAAAGAAAAACAAGTTTTAATTGTAGGGGTCCAAGGTAAAAAAAATTGGGGGTCCTAGAGAAAAGGTAAAAATTGAATACAACTGTACAGTATTCTACCACCAAGTGATGCAAGATTGTGACTGTTCAGAGGCCGTCTTTTAAAAATAGATATGGAATTCTCCAACTGAAATGAATCTACAAGTGTTAGCTACTAGAAGATCCTGAAGCATTCAATTGTGTATAGAATATTTAAAATTACCATGGTGCACGAATAATATTACTAAAGTGCCTGTCACACACTACTGATGTACTTCGCAGGGACTAAACTGGAGCAACAAATTAACAACGGTGAGAAAATCGGCAGAGCTGCAACGAGAAAGCACTTTACAAAATCAAAATTCCAATACCAATGTAGTACCGGCGTTCCCGTTGTGATACCGATATGCTACCAAATACCACTTTTATGTCACCTTAGTGTTACTGATGCCCTGCCGATGTTATACCGATGTACCACCGTTGACTGGAGCTATTGTGGAGTGATATCGTTGTGCTGCTGAAGCACTACCGATGTGACGATGGAGCTCCGGTATCACATAGGCGGTGCATCAGTACTACTTCGGTGGTATTCGGTAGTCCTACGGTATCACAGCGGTACCACTATGGTACACATTGAGGCCACCAGAGAGCCGCCGATCCATTACAGGGCGATACTGGTGTTCTACCGACATTAACGAGGCCATACCAGAGTACTGCTGATGTAGTCCCGTTGTTTGCTCTGGCAGCGCAACAGCGGGAATTTTTTTAGCATGTTCAAAATTTTCTACCGTCACCTGCTGTTGCTCAATTTTTCAACGATGTTCTGACGATGTTCTGATGATGTACTACCGTTCTTAGCGATGTGATACCATTGCGCTGCCGTACTAGTACCGATCCCTTAAAATCGCCAAATTTGTGCTCCAGTAGAGCTCCGGCGACTCAAATCAGCTAGGCGTGACAGGCCCTTTAGTGGTACAAATTATAAACTATGATAAAATAGCAGCACTAATTTCTAAACATGTAAACCGTATTCGACGTAATAAGCGCCCCGCTCTAATAAGCCCCCACGGCGATATTTGCTAATATATTGGCTAGTGAACAATCCCAATCAGCACCCCTTCCGATTGATCAATGTACACAAGACTTATTTATTCGTGCATAATACGCACTCGTGTGTTATATCACCCTTAATTATGGGCAATTAAATTCTTGAAAAATATATCTGTCGTATGTAAACATTTCAGGCTGTTAGCATAAACCACGAAATTTACGATCTTTCAACTCAAAATAATATTCTAATAAGCGCCCCCTATTTCTAATTTTGAGAGCGCCCTGTGCTCTTATAACGTTGAATACGGTACATATTTTCTACATCCCAGTATATGCACTCAGTATATTCTTTATGTCCATTTTCATTTCAATGCATATAGGATGCAGGATTTTGCACCTGGTAAATCACTGTGATAATAAAGGAGCAAAAAGCAAAATGAAGACACATTGATGTGGGTGTAACAGATAACATCAAATCTTAAAAGTTTGTTCAGTATTTGTCAAAAGAAGTATATAAGTAAGAATACACCTCAAAGTGATAATAATGATCAACCCTGTTACCATGGTTATCATCATCATCATCATCATCATCATCATACAAAAGCAATGTTCACTATTCAAGAATCATATAAACATTAAACTCACGGTCTTTGACTTCACTACGGTCAAAATGCAGCAATCCCTGCAATCTCTTGTCGCTGTGAGTGTCAATTCCACACAACGTTACTGTAACAGAGATGACTTGAATTGCATTGAGTTGACTACATATATAACAGCAGATATCATTTACTGTAAGTGTTTAGGCCACACTTATTTAATTTTATTTAGGTGGAGGAAACACAGAGACTTCTTCACAAGATGACTTGGCTTACTAGGGGTGGCAACACTGATCTGTTGGAACCATTTTCAAATCTTTACTTGTTTGGTGGTTTCAGATCAGTATTTTCTTTTTTAATGTATAGGACTGGAGCTCCATTATTTTTTCCAACATAAAAAGGTGCTCAATTGTTGTTTTGAATACATAGTCTTCCGACACTTTTCATATAGGCCTTGTATGGGCAGTCATCCGGTCAAAACATACAAAGTTGAAATAAAGGACAAAAGTATGCAAAATAGTCAAATGTTACGGACAACGTTGACAATAGTCATGAGGAATGAAGTAATACAATTAGTACTTTGGTATGCATTTATCATACACGGCGTAAGAAGCTGAATGCTTACAAATTGCACCTGGCATTCTTTATTATTGTCAACATTGTCCTTTACATTAGTAGTATAGTGTCCTTTTTGGCCACTGACATTCTTAAGCACATATTCCTCTTTCTTTACATATGACGTCTATTGTTAGCGAGTTGTTCATTGGTATCGTTTTGTATTTTGAATTCATTATTTGTATGTAAATAATGACCTTTATTTGTAAAATTCATTCTTCATTTGTAACATTGGCACGTATGCCTAGTCTGCAAGATAAGCGACCATTACTTTTTTCACCTACATTGTTAAAACGAACGAACATTACAGATATACAAATATAATATAACTTGTGCGTATCATCAAAATATTGTGAAGTAACCCTGCGTATTCGACTAGCAAATCAGCAACTTATTTTAAAATTATAAACGGGCAAACCTTGCCAAACTCCACGATGACAGTTACATCATGATCATTTGCCATCACACTTTCTTGTGGAAGTATCGTGGTATTTTTTAGTCCTATAAAGCTCTCGAGCCCACACAACACCAGTTTGCAGGGACTAATCTAGATGAAGAGGGTTTATAAATACTTAACTAAAATACCCACATGTGTAAAAACTAGCGGGTAACAGAAATTTGAATACCCAGATAGAATTACTGATACCCAATGATTTTAAAATGCATGGGTAAAATACCCACAACACCAAAAGCTTATCTGGAGCTCTGCTAAATGCAGCTGATTCTAAGGGCCCAATAAAGAGCAATACAGAGGAGCATTTCACGGTTGTCGTTGCCCAATATTTGTATCAGAGAGCCGCGATTGGTCCTACAGTCAACCCTAAATGCTCGTCTTGGGTGATTGATTGAAGCATCGTATTAAGTGTCCATGATTGAAGGACACCATCGCAGCTGTCGGCGAGAAATACTAGTATTTGGTCCGCATGTTATCAGCTGGTTAGGAATAATAGATTTGTCAGGGCTAGCCATCACTGCAATGGCAAACATAGAATACTATTCGACCATAATCAATGCTTATCATGACAAAGATTACAGTTAGAACTTCCGACCCATCAAAGAAACGAGATGACCAAGTCACGAAAACTATGATCCTTGGAAGTTTTGTGGTTTCACTAACCCCGTCTCGACTTCAGGACAAAAATACAATGAAACTGTTTTCAAATAAATAATTAAAACAAGCGTATCCAGACCCTTTTGTAGAGTTATTTTCCCAACACTTCTGTCAACATTTTGCAGGTAGCCCTCGAATATATCGCCTTCGATGACTTCCAACCGAACGCGATTTCCCACCACTCCGTCCATCTTGCTAAGGGAGGTAACTTTTACAACTTTAGGGAACCTATGAAGGTTGAAGGCATTGGTCACCATTCGCATCTTTCCGTAACCTACAAGAACGGTACAAGTTCATCTCGAATGGCTCGGAGGAAGTTGCACTAACGGAATATTGATAAGGTCTCTTACAGATTTTATTTTGTATGTTACCATACCCGTTTCCTATCAGTAAAAAACCTAAATGACATTAGGACATCTTTACTATAGAGTTGACAGATATCCTTGTCAAGTTGATTTACCCGAATCTCTTAATTTGCTTCAGCAAATAGAGCTATGATGAGGATAAATCCCGCTGATAACCTGAGTTTTGGAAGTTCTGTAACGATGTGAACAAACTGTATTTTTGAAGTGTTTAATTTTACCCTGACTTATTTAATTAAATACCTTCTGCAAATCTCATAAAGTGAGTGCCTCAAAGTTTGTCACGACAGTCGACGATCAGCATTCTTCCAGCTATATCAGAGGGTGCCAACTGCACGTTTCGATACTGTGACAATACTACTAAATTTGTCTTGGCATCCAATGAAGGCCTCTTGAGTCATATCAATTTACACAGCTGCACTTTGATTTTCACAAGATCATTGACTTTGTGTTTGATTTATCACTCTTTGCAAGAAAAAATATAGATTTCAGCATTGCATTATTGGCATCCGCGTACAAGATAAACATTTCATGCCATCAAAGACCATATACCGATATAAGGTTTCTGATGTCATCCAGCGTGCTGCACTGTGGCATCCGGATACCGTTAAACAGGACTCGGCATCCGGTGTACCTAAACGGGGTTGGCACCCTCCTATCACAGCAGCCTGTCACTGAAAGCATAAGAAGGGATAGACGCTATCGGGATAGGGAGGGGATTTAAGTTTTCACATTTTGAAATAAGATTTCAAACATGATGTAAATTTACTGAATATTAAAGAAATTTATTATTTCTACCAATAACAATGTTTAAACACATATTTTGGAGAATACAGACTGTATATACTCTACGGTCTGCTACCCAGCTTCAGTCTAGGTGTGTGTAATTAGTGCTGTGTGAACCCGAGACAGTGTCTTTGTATAGTTAGGGTAAACATTAATTTATAGTCTGATGTTCAAATCTGAGTTTGTCCGTGCCTTGAACAACAATAAACCACCCTACCCTAATAGAAAAATAAATAAAATACACGCAACTTGAACAAAGTGTTTCTTTTTGTTGCCATCAAATACGTAATACCAACGACTCCATTTCCTTTATGTTGTGTTTTAAGATGAGGTGAGGTGAAATGGGGTTTAACGTCGCGTCCAAGATTATTGCACTTATATAGCGACGTGCATGTACGTGTGTGTGTGTTTGTGTGGCTGCTTGTACTAGTCCGGACTGATGCCGATTTATAGTGCTAGCTCACTGAGATACCATGCCGCAGTTTAACATGAATACCCCAATCAGACACAGTATACCGACTCCGAGCCGACCAGTCTTTGTTTTAGCCCCTTAATGCCGAGCGCCAGACAGGGTAACAACAAGTACCATCTTTTATCGTCTTTTGGTATGACGCGGTTGGGGATCAAACCCCGGACCTTCCGCTCTCCGGGCGGACGCCCTACCACTAGACTACGGTGGCGGTCTGTGTTTTAAGAGTTAAATGTGTAAGCAGCGTTGTGTACGGTGTTTTATAAGCTGCCTTGTTCACCCTGCTATTAAAGCATGAGACCCGCGACGACCCGGGTTATAGAATAGGTCTTCAGCAACCGATGCTTGTCGTAAGAGGCGACTAACGGGATCGGGTGGTCAGGCTCGCTGACTTGGTTGATGCATGTCATCATATCCAAATTGCGTGGATCGATGCTCATGATGTGAATCACCGGGTCGTCTGGTCCAGACTAGATTATTTACAGACCCCCGTCATATAAACTAATGTCCAAAAGAAACGATACCACGTGTTTGAAAGGACATTACAAAAAAACTAAACGATACAGACATTTAAAATTGGTATATGGCTTGTGAGTAATGTTTTCACAGTATGTTTACAAAAATTCATTGTAATCAATCCTTTACAATCATGAGGACAGACATGTAAAGACGCGGGGGGGTCCAAAAGTAAAATTTCATTAGAACACAGTTGATGAGTCAAGTGTGGAAAATGTCACAACACACGTCTAAAGTCACGTTAGTACCGGGTATGGCCACAGTGAGCGTCAATACACGCTAGTACACGTCTACGGGCTGATGACGTCAGACGTCTGATGACGTTGTGGGGGGATGCATTGCCATTCTTGGAGGAGGCATTGTTCCAATTCCTGGAGGTTAACTTGAGGCACAGGGCGATTCCTGACTTTGCGGCCGAGAATGTCCTACATGTGTTCGATTGGGTTCATGTCCGGTGAACATGCCGGCCATGGTAAAACGTGAATGCTGGCGTTTGCTAGGATGTTCTGGGTCAGCCTTGCCGTGTGAGGCCTCGCATTATCGTGCTGGAAAATGATACCATTAGGCTGTCGTTGGATGAATGGCACCACAACTGGTTGTAAGATGTTATCACGATAACTGCGCATTCAGGTTTCGTCTCGTTTTGACGTCACCGCAGATTCCACCCCAAACCATTAAACCTCCGCCTCCACATGGCCTGACTTGATGGATGCAGTTCAGTGCCAAACGTTCACCTACTCTTCGGTAAACACGCTGCCGGCCGTCGTTCCTGAAGATGCAAAATCTGCTTTCGTCAGAAAACATGACACGTGCCCAGTTCAACCGTTGTCACCGTCAAAGTCGCCTGGCCCATATCCGTCTGTTGAGTCGGTGTTGAGGTGTCAGGAACGCTCCGCGGTAGGGGCGATGTGCTCGGATACCATGTGCCCGCAGTCTCCTGTACACGGTTTGTCGACTTTTCACGTGTCCCAGTGCCGTCCGTGCCGTTAACGTCGCCGTTACGAAGCGGTTCCGAAGGTGAAGTACCCGGATGTGGCGGTCTTCAATAGGCGTGGTCACCCGTGGTCTCCCGGTTCTCGGCCTGTCTGCTGTCCGACCTGTTTGAGGCAACCGCTGCATTAACCTGGTGATGGTTATGCGCGCGCATCCTAACCTTCTGGCGACGTCGCGGTGCGTAACTCCCTGTTGGAGCATTCCTACCGCTCTCTCTCTCTCAATCGCTGTCAAACGTGGCATTTCTTTTGTGTGCTTTTTGTTGCTGTGATCCCAACGTGTCGGGTCAGCAGTTTTATACAGAAGATATGCACTTGCATTTCGTGTTATAGGACGGAACGTCATTTGGGCAAATTGCACGCTTTTTTCTCAATAGATCAAATGTTCCCGGTTTTATCGACCGAATACATTTGGTTTGGAACGTAGGATACGCAAAAGTAAATTTTCAGACGAAAATTAACTCTTCATAATAAAATATTTAGAAAAATGTGTGGTATCGTTTCTTTTGGACATTAGTTTAGCTTGAATATTGCTGAGTGCGGCGTTAAACAACAAACCAATTTACACATGTAACAGATGTGTCAACCCAAATTCTATATGTCACATTAAAGGTGTATCAGAGTTTTGTATTTACCGGGGGCGGTGGGGTATTCTAGTGGTTAAAGCGTTCGCTCCTCACACCGAAGGCCCGGGTTCGATTCCCCACATGGGTTCAATGTGCCCATTTCTGGTGTTGGACTATTGCTGACAGCGGCGTAAACCCAAACTCACCCACTCACTCTTATTTACAGAGTGAAAGTTTTGTAAAAGCAGTTACCGAATGTATTAAGCTCTTATTTGTTCATAATAGATTACCAGTTGCAGAGATGAAGCTGCCATGATATTGTAGAATTCTGTATTCTTGTTGTTCCGACAGCGGTACCGAAAGACTCTACGTTAGATAATGAATTTGTTGATGCTTTACCTCAAAAGCAAACATTTATTCGAAAGTGCTCCTTTCGCAAACTCACCACGTAGGCAATTTCAAATATTTATTTTACTTGATAAAGGTTTCGAAATGCCGTATTGTAGTTTTAAATATTACAAGAAAGTGTGGCAGTACATTTCAAAATGAAACCCGAAATCCATGGAATTTTGTGAAATTCACATTCCAGTTGAAGACTTCGAAACTTCACGCTTACGTTTTCAGTGAAAATATACAAGTTTCGAATCGACGATCGGAAATCATAAATTGAGGAGTAGATTTTAAGTTTCTGTCCGAGAACCGTATCAAGAAGATAGTATCAACATGACGTTATCGATGACGTCATAATGGTCTGCAAAGCATTGTGCTGCAATATCATTGTAGCGATATCTCCTAGCTATAGGAGATATCGCCTGTTCTCACTCAATCGATATCACCCATGGAAGCTACAGTGGGATGTTAATAATAATACTAGCGCGTGCTTCGCGTATAGTTTAGTACCGCTATTCTGAACTCTCTGGAGCATGTGGGTAATATAGGTTTTAACAACGCACAGACTGGCCAATCAGGTAGCTAAATTTATATTGATATTTGTTTACATGAAGAAATCTGCCCATACTTGTTTTTCTTGATTCGACGACTGCTTTAAACATTAGTGATGTTGGGTAGCCTAGTAGATGAAGCGAGTCGGCAGGTCGAATGCCCGGGTTCGATTCCCACATCGGTTCAATATGCGAAGCCAAATTCCTGGTGTCGCGCAATGATCTGGAATAATGCTAAAAGTTGCATAAAACCAAACTCACAACTCCAAGCACTATGTGTATATAATTGAGCGAGAGGCGTGGGCATACGTTTGCATATGTTCTCTCATGCACACACAGGTGTGATGAGCAGACAGACAGTCAAGCATTTCAGTAATTCAGTGGGATTGTTTCATCTGCATTAATGTATTTTCTAACGCTCTCTTACAAATGTACGTATATATGGATATTGTACAGTTTTACATTTTGATCAATAACAACCCAAATGGAAATCATTAAACGTCCTCAGTTGTCGACCAATAGCCTTTCTCCAAGGCTGTACTGAATGATAAGTGCATGGATGTATAGTAACTCTAATCTGATAAAAGGCAAGTCCAGGGCCCACTTGCACAAAGCGATCTTAGCGCTAAGATGATCGTAACTCCCATACTTTAACATAGGCTGACAATAGTCTTAGCGCTAAGATCGCTTTGTGCAAGTGGACCCAGATCAGGACGCTCGTCTCTTATAGGGAAAACGCGTTCTAATTATTCATATAGACTACAAATAAATTATTTAAACTAATAATTATTGCCTTAGAAACTTGTGCAAGTCTAATCCAACAGCTGTTCTGTGAGACAAGTTGGTCCTTTGCCAAGGCTACACCCTTTTCAGTGGGAAGGTGATGTCAGAAAGTTAAAACAGTTTTGGTAGACATATTGTTAGAGCGGTTAATGTTGGTCCGAGTTCATTACACGAGTATTTTTTTTGTAGCGAGATGTTATTAATCTATACACTGACATATTGTTTAACTGGCACCCGAACAACTGAATATTCGTTAACACTGGACAGCCATATTTAAACTAATTGTCAAATTAATGGTGTGTATATTTTCATGAATCATTTTGATTAACTTCATGTCTCACGTTTAACACATATAGCCGTTTCATTTGAACAGGGACTCTTATTGAGGGTCCTATATAGAGTTGAAACATCACTCTATTATTGCGATCCAACAGATGTCAGTGCAAGCAACATATGGCTCAATTACCCCCCACTCCCCACCCCCACCCTCACTCTATTACTTTAATGCTCAGTTTTTACCCCCAGCAACCCCCTCTCTCCTACCTCCCCCCTCCCACTCTACCAGAACATTGAACACAACACAATATCGCACCATTCATTTACTGTTCCGGCTTGTTAGCGTGCATCACGTGATTTCGATCATACGACGAAACAAGCTCCACGTTGGAGCTCGGTGGCCGAGTTTTTATCATGACACAACACACCGTCGTCTTGTAGAGTTTAAACTCCACGGAAACAAAGAGTGTGACGCTGTATATAGATGCGTCCAGAATTGTCTATACTCTAAAGTCAGTCAGTCGGTCAGTCAGTTGAGGCGACACCATCTATGTGTCAGTCGCTATAGACACGAACGAGTTATAACAGGAGAACTTTATACATCGGTAATCACACAAGGGGACGTTTCTGAAGGTAAGTGTTTAAGAATATGGTTACTCTTATAGATTCATTTAGACACATTTTATTGTAGTTGAGGAAAATTAACAGTGTTATGACATGTCCTTTTAAATCAAGTTAATTATAATGGAATGCGTACAAGTATTTATTGGTAGGTATGCAGGATAACCTATAAGACACTCTAACTCCCTTATGTCGATATATCGCCCAAGAAGATGTTAGTCATTATTTGAACCGTTGTCATGCCGCATGTCTGATATAGGCCTTTTGCTTGTCTCGAACCACTTATAAGTCGACATATACTCGATGATCCCAATGACTTCGAGTTAATGAGAGAAGGTGGGTTAGCCTAGTGGTTCAAGCGTTCACCTGTCACGCCGAAAGCCCAGGTTCGTTACCTCACATGGGTACAATGTGTGCACGACCCCCATTTCTGGTGTCCCCCGAAGCTGGAATATTACTAAAATTGGCCTAAAACCATGCTCACTTACTCGAGTTAAAGAGCACTAAGTAAGACCATGTCGTAAGGTTGTCTGGTTGTAAGGTTATCCATGTTGTCCAACTTATAAGTCGCACATATCGCGACCTATTCAACCATTGTCAGCGACAGGCGATTGTTAGCGATGTAAAGTCCAAGTATATGTTTGCTTATACACGTATAGCGAATGTTCGAGTCATCATTGCTGTTAGAATTGCTCTCACGGCATTCCGTGTTCACATACTATCATATAATACATGTACCGGTGAAAACTGAAATTATAAACAGTTTTGATTTGAAAGAAGGTGAGGTGAGGTGAAATGGGGTTTGACATCGCGTCCAAGATTAGTGACCTTATATAGCGACGTGCATGCACATGTGTGTTACTGCTGGTATGGGGAAAATGGACAAAGTTTTACAACTATTTTATCACATTACTTGTCACATATTAAGGATTGGAAATAAGGAAATATTACAACTCATGGACAATGTTCCAGTATCTTAAACCTGCCAATGGTCAAAGCATATCAGATATATTTTCCAGGACCAGTATCTCTCTCATTGTGCGTGCGTGTGTGCGTGAGTGCGTGAGTGCGTGTGTGCGTGCCCGTGTGTTTGTGTTGCTTGTGCTAGTCGGGACTAATACCGCTTTATATATAGTGCTAGCCCACTGAGATACCATGCCGCAGTGTAACATGAATACCCCACTCAGACACAGTATACTGACTCCGAGCCGACCAGTCCTTGTATTTTGGTTATTAGCAAGCATAAAGAGACGACAGTGCGCCTGTCTTTATAACAACGAACTGGAGTGATGATTATTTTTTTCAATTCAACTGTTGTGTTTATTAATTATAAAGTTGATTTATTAGTACATAGTCTAACGCAGTTCTAACAGCAAGGGAGGTGGGGAAGCCTAGTGGTTAAAGTGCTCGCGCGTCACGCCGAAGGCCCGGGTTCGAATACCCACATGGGTACAATGTGTGAAGCCCTTTTCTGGTGTCCCCCGCCGTGAAATTGCTGGAATATTGCTAAAAGCAGCGTAAAACCATACTCACTCTAACAACAAGACAAATGTCACATCTGCTACATATGTATATGACCCGTGAACATCCGGGGTAGAATAGGTCTTCAGCAACCCATGCTTGCCGTAAAAAGCGACTATGATTGTCGTAAGAGGCGACTAACGGGATCGGGTTGACAGGCTCACCGCGGAGATCCATGCTCAGGATGTCAATCACTGGATTGTATGGTCCAGACTCGATTATTTACAGACCGCCGTCAAACAAACATATGTTTATACAAGTCTGTGACGAATCGCCACTTTATCGATTCAGTTTAGTCAAAGGGTCGTTTTCCTGTGTTATACATTATTTTTATATCAGTTGTATTACGATCGTGTTTAGTTAATGTTGTTCCTTGTATATGTATGTATCTGTGCATATAATTACATATAAATAGATAGCCAAATATACCAGTTTGCCTACACAACCCTTGAACCATAGTATTTTCCCATTCGACAAGCCCTAACTGTAATGTAAATGAAGCAAGTCTAGATTTTCCACACAATCTGAGAACCGCCTCCGTGGTCAAATGGTAGAACGTCCGCCCGGAGTGCGGAAGTTCCCGGGTTCGATCCCCGGCCACGTCATACCAAAAAGACGTTAAAAGATGGTTACTTGTAGTTACCCTAACTGGCGCTTAGCATTAGGGGGCTGAAACAAGGACTGGTCGGCTGGGAGTCAGTATACTGTGTCTAAGTGGGGAATTCATGTTAAACTGTGGCATGGTATCTCAATGTGCTAGCACTATAAATCGGCATTAGTCCGGACTAGTACACACACACACACACACACACACACACACACACACACACACACGTGTATGCACGTCGCTATATAAGTGTAATAATAATCTTGGACGCGACGTTAAACCCCATTTCACCTCACCTCACAAGATCTGAGACTAACATTGGTCTCCTTTTCAATTTAAATGTAGTTTGCTTGTTTCTCTGAAAAATACATTATCAGAGACGATGCATTAGTCTATGTACCAGTATCTGACTATAATTACGAGACAGCATATTGTGTTCAAGGTTCAATGTGATAACGATTACTTGCAACATGTGTCCCTGTACTGTATGATTGCGTTTCCTTCTTAGCACGTGGTGTAACAACTCTGTACTCGCCTTGTCACGACTGACGCTTAGTCCCTGAACATAAATACATTTTACAGAAAAAAAACACAACTCCATTTAAATTGATAGGAGCCACGGTGAGATGGGATATTCAGAACCTGAACCTGTGGAAAATCTAGACTTGCTTCATTTAGGGCTATAGCTGAAGGGCTTGGCGGAAGGGGAAATAATATGGTTCAGGCACTGTGAGACAGATTATCTATCGCCTTGTTGTTCAACGTCCAAAATTATTATCAATAAAAATAATAAATGATATATTTTGGCGACCCCCGACCCCACCCCACCCTCTTGCGCTGTGACAGAGGTTGGCAAGAGTGAGCTTTAAATCACATGGCTCCAAAGAAATCCCGGCTGATTTTAAGGCTTTTCAACCAACACTTTTTAAATACTCTATTAGCTCCGAATATTACAGCTTGAAGAGACGTGTTTAGTAGGGCTACAACGAATAACCTAGGAGGCGAATACGATTCGTATCATGACTATAGGGTAATGAATACGAATATTAATTAACGAATACAATAATAAGTCAGCGGTTGATGTATTATTTGTCATATTCAGCATGTTCAGTGAGCCCACCACTACATAAATTATTTGACATGTTTTGTTAATTATCTTTATTATATATTTACATACTGCACTTGTCCAGGTACTTAGTCTTAGTATCTGCTCTAATGCTACAATGGCCAGTGACCAAATTCCTGTCAAATTAAATATTATAAGAGTGTTGTCTTTAAAGAAACCTATGCATATCACATGTTCGTATGGACATTTAGGTACAGGGTATGTAAATGCACATGATTGCATATTCATAAATATTCGATTCTAGTGGCAACGAATAACGAATTCAATTCACGAATGCATACGGTTCGATTCACCGAATACGCGAGGGAATCGTATAACGGCCCTAGTGTTTAGCATTTCAAGAGAATTTGGGTAATTAAATGTTGGGCTTGCTGAAACCAGCATTTTACAAACTGAAGACTGTAATGCGTGCATCGTTCTCTTGCAGACTGTTATCATGGAGTACGAAAAAGAAGGTCCGTTGCACGAGATGTTTTCACGTCAAGCTCGTGCAACACCGGACAACATGGCGCTGATTTCACTGGATGGACGTGAAGTGACGTTCCGTGAATTGGATCAGTGGACGGATATTTTGGCAAGGAAGCTCGTGATTTGTGGAGTAGCTCCTGATTCTTGTGTCGGGATCTACATGGATAAAAGTGTAGAGTTCGTCACGGCCTACATCGCCATACTGAAAGCAGGTGAGGTGCATGCATGGGTTACTACGCACAATTAAACCACTATGATGACGTCACGCTATTATGTTGTTGCGGTTGATTCTGAGCCAGGAATTCACTGGCCATTCTTAATCAACGTGCATGTTTTAATGCAAAACTGAAGCAACTATACATCGTTATTAAAGTTATAGAACAATTATATGTCAACCATAACCTGGTTTAAGTTAGAGAAATCTCCCGAATCTGCAGCCTGGTTCCCTGGGTATGCTGCGCTGGCGCTACACTGAGCGCCAGCGCAGCATACCCAGGGAACCAGTCTGCCAAAGCTGTTGATTCCGGAAGTTGAGAAGTGTACTTGACTTGTGATTTCTCCATTATGGAGATTCCGGCAACAGGCCCCAGTAATCTATGCCACATCGTACGGGTGGCCCTGCTCGGTGACTTGTTGGATTGATTGTTGCGTACCACTATGGCCCAGTTCGTTGCTCATAACATCAATCGCTGATTTGCCTGACCCAGACTCGATTATTTACCATTCGTCATCACTCGCCCCTTCCCGTAACCTACAAGAAGACACGCCCCCCTATCGATGAATGTTAAGAGTTAACACCGCCTGTAACAACACTCTGTTCGACAGATGGTAGTTAGCACATTCGCAGCAACGATCGTTTCGTGGAACAGGCCACAGAACAATGCTTTTTTATGTCTCCCTTTTCCAGACTTCACACCTGATGTGTCCCTACAACAATAGCCCACGTCGTCTATTGTATGACATCTCGTCAACACGTGTATCACAATTACCACCTGTTTCAGCAAAAAATATCATGAATAACTCAATACTATTAACAACGCGTTGGTGTATACGTTAGAGACGCCAGTGTGGTTAATTATAAGTATTTGCATATTCCTAGTTTCAAGGTCTCCGGTTCTCGGTAGGAAGTGACAACATCAAGTCTACAGCTTTCCGTATACAGGTTTGCCTTATACAGGCGATATATATACAAGAAGCTATGTGTGCCAGGTCGGCAAATAGATGTCGTGGCTGTGGTGTTGGTGCCTCGGAGCACCTACCCTAACCCTTGCTAGGCTAATGGTGAAACCTTCCTCTTCGCCTCTGGACTAAGGCGTATATATCTAAGGTCACTCTACACGTATTTTAAGTCATAAATATAAACAACACTCATGAGAAGTATCACAGTTCGTTCAGATTGGCTGAAATTAGTTATACAGGACATTGGTGATGAGTATTAACAATGGGGTTTAGCACGTATTAAAGGAATGGTAGAGAAGTGATTCTAGACACATACATGCCATGGTATGAAATGTTCCTTCAGGCAATGGTTGTCGCCTATGGTGCCACAATTCGATCATGGGTTCGAATCCAGCATACCCGTGCTCGTGATGTGGCAGATTGGAGATTTAAAGAGTGCTTCAAGTCATTGGGGATTGCGCACACGATAGAAGGTTTTCTTTTACTACGCCCAAGGATACATGTTTCTTAATTATTCTTGTAACAATTGTGAAGTTCAATCGCAATGTAGCTGGAATTGTGCTTAAAGCAGCGTTACACTAAACTTACTCACTCACTATAGCTGAATATAAGATACCTACGCGATAAATCGCAAAGAACAATGAAGAACGAACCGTGGTTTATTTCACGATGAAACATTGTTCTATCATGACTTTATTTCGGGAGATTCGAACATGTGCTCGTCAATTGATGACGTCGTATATTGGACGACATTATTTTGAGGGGGAGTGTCTAGAGAGTTGTTCCCCATAGATGTAGCTGGGCTACGCAGATAAACGCAGTAGCTGCAGAGGCCAAACGATCGCATCCAAAAGTGGGAGAGATATGACAATCGGTATTAGGCGAAAAGGTACAGATAATCGACGTGAGGATTGTGAGAATATGCGGGAAATACCAAACTTAACCCACCTGTTCGTAAAATGGACTTGTCCGACATGGCCGAGGTCAGATTCTATTCAGGGAGTCATCGTTGTTAAAATTTGGGTAAACATTTTTAAAGCTGGTACATTTTATCAACATTCTTAAAGAAGCTGTACATAATGTTGATATCTCATGTAAGAAATACACGACGAGTGGGAGTTGTTTACCGTACAATAAAACACTGCAGGTAGAATAAACCACTCGGGGCTGCGCCCTTCTTGGTTTATTTTTCCTGCAGTACTTTATTGTATGATATACAACTCCGACTCGTCGTTTATATCTTAATTTAAGATTGCTGAAACATTTTCTATACTGAAACGGTTTGGCAAGCTCTAGACTGGCCTGTCTGCAGAAAAATACAATATCATCTGGATAATACAGGAAATCGTTAGACCCCCGGGCATTATAAGTCTGCTTAACCCTTGCCATCCAAAAACATTAATATTTTAATATGTGATCATGTTTATGAAAAAAATAATACAAAAATGATATCTGGTTTGAGAGTAAAGTGAATCCATCCCAAACACGTGCTTTCCCATGATATTACGTTATAGGGTTAACATCATTATCAACATTTATCAAAGACCTCAAACGAAACTGCCGGATACTGTTTAGAGATAAGGGACACCATGAAACCAAGTGTGGCGACACTTCTGGTAGATGCTTATCCATATGCTCTTTAAAGAAGGATGAAACGCTTAGTGGTAATAGCGTTTGCTCGTCACACCGGTGACCCACAACCCATGCTTGCTGTGAAAGGCGACTATGCTTGTCATAGAAGGCGACTAACGGGATCGGGTGGTCAGGCTTGCTGACTTGGTTGATGCATGTCATCTAATTGCGTAGATCGATGCTCATGATGTCAATCACTTGATTGTCTGGTCCAGACTTGATTATATACAGACCGCCGTCATGTAGCTGGAATATTGCTGAATGCGGCGTAAAACAACAAGCGAAAAACTTAAAGTGGCTTTAAGCCTAACTGACTCACATCAGGACGAAGGGCGTGATACCTATCAGGGCACCGATATTTCTGTCTGGGACTTTCAGTCCGGTTTAACGCCTGATTTGGCCCGAAACGATATTCAGTTATAATATGGATCTTGCTGTGATTTCCACTAGTAACGGGGTTTTACTGAAATCGCACCTGGCATCAATCCCCATGACGTCTAAATACTCTTGGTACTTTTTAAGTCTCATTGTAAAAAGGATTTCATTCGTAGAAGAATTTGTCGCCTTTTCGAAAAGCACTGCATCAGTCAATCTGCGCCTATTCTCGAGGATCCAGTGTAATAATACCCTGGACCAATTCGTCACCATAGCTTCGTTTTGAGTCCGATTCAGACCGCCACCGTGGTCTAGTGGTAGAGCGTCCACCCGGAGAGCGGAAGGTCCGGGGTTCCATCCCCGACCGCGTCATACCAAAAGAATGTTAAAAGATGGTACTTGTTATTACCTTGTCTGGGGCTCGGCATTAAGGGGCTAAAACAAGGACTGGTCGGCTCGAGTCAGTATACTGTGTCTGAGTTGGGTATTCATGTTAAACTGCGGCGTGGTATCTCAGTGAGCTAGCATTATAAATCGGCATCAGTCCGGACTTGTACAAGCAGCCACACACACACACACACACACACACACACACACACGTGCATGCGCGTCGCTATATAAGTGCAATAATCTTGGACGCGATTGGACCCCATTTCACCTCACCTTGAGTCCGAATCGAATAGCACGACGCTGAAAATCTGTGTTAATTACAGATAGAAGCGATGGAGATGATGACGTCATTTCCGAAACGAATCGATGGCAGCGAATGTTCCCACGACGTTTATCAACAATGGAATGGCTATACTAGTCTATAATACACTGGTTAATGGAGGGTGTTCAGTACTTGTAGCGCTGTCTGTGCCTGAGGGGAATGGTTTCTCTCATTTCACACATTAGCGTCTTCCAACATTCATCGGAAGACAACATAAGTGTGTGTGGTGTGACAAGAATTATTGATTATTTCATACAAGGATATAATCATTGACCTAAATTCGGATTTGGTCGCTGAATGGGCGCAGTTGTACGGCCGGAGGCTTTTTAAACAAACGGCGTTGATCTGGCCCCGTTCTCAAACAGTGCCAACTTAACCCACTGATCAATATCATCGTGACCTGCATGTTTCTTCCGGGGTATATCCATTCATACTCCCGACCCGTGAAGATCCGGGGTAGAATAGGTCTTCAGCAACCCATGCTTGTCTCTCCATGAAGATCCGGGGTAGAATAGGTCTTCAGCAACCCATGCTTGCCGTAAAAGGCGACTACGCTTGTTGTAGGAGGCGACTAACGGGACTTGGTTGATGCATGTCATCGTATCCCAAATGCTCATGATGTAAATCAGTGGATTGTCTGGTCCAGACTCGATTATTTACAGACCGCCGTTATATAGCTGGAATATTACTGAGATATTGTTTGAACTTGAAATTGACGTTTTTCTTAACGAATATATTCATAATACTTTGGCAAACTTAGCAACATGTAGCGACAATTACCGATTGATCCATTATAAGATGGAATAGTTGTCAAAGATCAAAGAGCTCACCAACACTGCCATATTTGAACCACCACAGCGACTGTCATTCTCAGTTTGCTGTACAGAATCATTATTTCATTATTGGTTACATCATTTGGGCGTTCACTGCATAGGACCATATACTACAAAACAAGATAAAGCTGCTAGAGGATCAAGAAAATTAATTTTAACGTTTAATATATTTTGATGATTTAAATTAGATCACTACCACTGCTACTATTGTCTCTAAAACTCTAAAAGCATATTTGTCTCGCATAACGCCGCACTCAGCAATATTTCTGCTATATGACGGCGGTCTGTAAATAATCGAGTCTGGACCAGATAATCCAAGGATTGACATCATGAGCATCGATCCACGCAATTGGAATACGATGACATGCATCATACCAAGTCCGCGAGCCTGACCACCCGATCCCGTTAGTCGCCTCCTTCGACAAGCATACTCGCCTTTTACGGCAAGCATGGGTTTCTGAAGGGCTCGCATGTTATCACC